TGATGACCATTCAAAGATGTACACCATGAAATCACGGCTGCATTCTACAAGACATTTACTGAACATCTGATGAGAGTTGAGACACTGCTGTGTTCAGTGTTGACAAACTTAATGGGTCTGTGATGAGAAGAAGACTCTTGTTATCATGATCCTGACTTCTGGAATATTCATTGCAGATTCCAAATCCCTTCCACTGCTGTCATCTCCTATGGTCTCGGAATATCCCTGGTAGGTAGATAAGATCAGGCCTGGTATCCCAGTTTTACAGATGGCAAAACTAAGGTCCAGGGATATGAAGTCATTTCCTGATATCACATTAAACTAGAGAACTAGAGCCAGACCTCTTATTTTTCAAAATCTAAGCTTTGAAATGTGCTCTCAGAAGAGAAGTTATGTAATTACAGCAAATTCCCCTAAAATCAAATTTTCCTTACACATTGGGATGAAACATCCAAGCTGAGGGAAATAAAAAAATAAAAGAAAACATGAGACCCTTGACAATTTCATGTGGTTAAAAACAGACACAAAATTCACAGCAGCTCAAAGCCCTAAATGTTCCTCTCATAGTCAACAGAAACTGGAAACTGATTACTTCTGGAAGTCACTGAGGTCAAAATGTTGAGGCAGCCACCACCATCTATGGCCTCCCTATACATAAGAATAAGGAAGAGGTGGATGAGTTCAAAGTTTTCTTTCAGAAGAATAGAAATAAAAGTGCGTCTATATCTTTACTCACATTTCAGTGGATACAAAAACACTGTGACAAACGTCCGAGAGGCCACACTGAGCGGTGCTGCAGAGCAAACGTGAAATAAGAAGTCTGTTTTGAGCCTTCATCCAATTGCAACTGCATAGCTGCAAATAAATCCCAGCACATGTTGTTTTAATTAATGGAAAATAATAAGATAACAGTCATGATCATGGGGTTTAACCAACCATACAGTTAAGCCTACATTTGTTTTCAATTACGGTTAAAATGTATTCAGTTGAATACAGCTTAAGTGGTAATTGCATTCTTTACAAGTTGCTAATAATCTCTGGAATGGCAATTCTAATAAAAATTTTACTCTAATGGGTACATGTCCTGCTTCCTCACATGTCAAGGCCAGTGAAGTCATTAGCGGCACTAGCCGTCCAATAGTCTATCTGGAGAGCTGGCCTTCTGTCCAAAGCCCACACATGAACCACTCAGTGTGTACTTACGTGGGAAGCGGCGTGGTCATTTGATTGTGGTTTTATGCTCTTTCTCAGGAATGCTTCTCAGGGGCAATTGTGCTCTTGGAGAGCGGCTATTTGTCACTGCCTATCAGATGAGGCCTTCGACAGACTCTACAATAGGAAGCTCAGCCATCCCAGCTACAGGGACTTAACTTCACTTCGAGATAGTCACTGACCTCCCCCCAAATTTCCAAAACATCAATCTCTGTTTAATGGGTGGGTGGCTGTAGGACTGTACTGACCACAACATTCCAATCCAGGAAAATATGTCTGGGTGCACACATGGTTTGATAAACTGCTTTTAATGTTCTGAGTCAGAGAAAAATCTTAGGCCTACCGTTATATGCTCCCTTTCTTTTCTCATCTCCCAATATTACTACTGTGTTTCTCTACCTCAATTTCTCCTTCACTACCATGCTCCTTCTTTCTTCTTCTCTTCCTGCCATCCCTATGGAAAAATGTCAGGGCAAATAACAGGCCAAGTCTTAGAGTCAGAGAGCCTATGTGGGGTGGCTCTGAGCTGTATCATTTGCTCAACTGCCATCTCAACTATTTGTCACTCTAATGATTCAGTTCCACATCTCTGGGTTTGGAGAGCTGTTAAAATTCAAGTAATTAGAAAATTATGATCCCCAAAATCTACTTGAACTTGAGAAAAAGACAATAGGAGCTTTGCCCAGAAAGAAGGAAGGAGATTTAGAGAAGGAGGGACAGCATCTCGCAATTTTAACAGAGTCCAACCCTAGAAGGAAATTTGAGCCTGTTGCTAGTAGTGCTTTTCTAAAGGCGAAGGTACAAAGTTGTGCAATAAACACATATTAAACACACAAATGGGAGTGGAAGTAGTCAAGAGAAACAGATGGCAGAGACATGACTGTACTCATAACCAACAAGTAGCCATGGCAATGCTTGGGCCATTATTAAGTTTGCATTATTAAGTTTTCAAAAGGCAAAGTCAGCCACTATTCCTAATAGTTTATCTCTTTCAATGAATCCTTCCGCTTTCCTTTGTCACACCTGAGGTACTCTGATAGAAGAGGCACAGGTACTATTTGGTCTATCATGGTGTGTCTATGGGAGCTTGAACAATTATTTTCCCTTTCTTTGGTCTTCATTTTCTCATTTTTTAAACTGATAATTTTAAAGGTACTTCTGACTATTGTGATTCCATGAAATTAAAGTGAGGGTTAAGAGAGATGTTGTTAAGGCTTCTATCTTCCTCCTACTTCTAGAGTTCCATGGAAGTTCTGTCTAGCCATCCTTCTGCCTTCTAATAGCACTTGCTTGGGTTTTCGCAACTTCAAAGGGAGTGAAGCAGCCACCATAATGGCTGAAAACTGGCAGCCACCATACTAGGCAAGTGCTAGAAAGATAGTATGGGGCTCACTGTCATTACCATAGACCATGGTGTACCCCAATATTATATCACCCACTGGAATTTCATTGAGTTCTAACTTGGACCAGACACTAATCATTACATAGATTCTAATTTGGATTAACTAAATTGTCTCATCCCAAATAATATTTTTAGTCTTATCTCCCACTGATCCCTGATATGCACTCAGAGCTTCAGCCAGACATGGTAGCTTATAGTATTAGTTTTCTATGACTGTGTAACAAATTAACACAAACTGAGTGGCTTAAAAAAACATCCCTTTATTATCTCACTGTTTCTGTTGGTATGGAGTCCAGACATGCCTTAGCTACATTCTGGGCTCTCTCTGTGCTAATCTCCTTTCTGGAGTTTAGGGTCCTTCTCCAAGCTCACTTGCTTGTTGGTAGAATGCAGTCCCTCGGATTATAAGACGGAGGTTCTGCTTTCTTGTTTGCTGTCTGCTGGGGAATACTCTAAGCTCCCAGAGGCCCCATAGTTCCTTGCCAAGTGGAACTCTCACAAATAGCAACTCATTTCTTTAAAGCCAGCAGGAGAATCTTTCTCCAGTCTGCTAAGATGGAGTCTTATATAAGAGAACACAATCACAGCTGTAATTATCACTTTACCTTCGCCATCTCACATAATCCAATCATGGAAGTAGCACAAACCACCTCTCACATAGTCTAATGGCTAGAAGCAAGTCACAGGTGCCACCTTCACTAGGGGAAGGGAGTTAGTTATACAAGGGTGTGATTCCCTGAGAATTACCTTGAATTTTGCCTATCATAGTTATCACTTCAAAAGTATTTTCCTCACCCCTTTTAGACATGAGCTTTTCTCTGCCAAGTAATTGCTTATGCCTTTCTTTGCCTATCCCTCAAACCATCATTTTCATAGATGACTTTAAGTTTGCCCATGCTACCTTCTGGGCTTCCATTGCATGTATAATCCTCCAAAGTCACTTACTCCTTCTGGAATGCATTTCAGTTTGCAAGATCTTCTCCCCAGTATGACAAATCTTCTTCAGAGCAGGGAACTAAATTACATTCACTCTCATATCCCCTTCCCACTCCCCAACCTCCACAACAGCACCCTGCACAGTGTTTTCTACATAGGTGGTAGTTGGCAAACAAATACTAGTGAAATTCAATAAATTGAACCAAAGCATAGAATTACAAAATCTACAAGGTTGGAGCCGAGCTTTGAAGTCATCTAGACCAAACTATCTCCCTTATTGCTCTTGGCAGGAGGCTACTGGCATCTCTTCATGTTTCTACGTCCCATCTGCTATCAAACATTTTTATGACATTTATTTCCTCATTATAGTCCTTATTGTGCTTTATTTATATATCTGTGAGGCACAGAACAGTTGGAAATTATCCCTTCCTTTGCAATATTTTCTTCCCCAAAGCCCCAGCCAGCCCAGACTCCCTATGCCCATGACGGGTCTCCAGGGCTGCCGTGACAGCATTACTCCCCACTTCCCTCTGTCTCCTCTGTCTCCTCCATACCTCCATCATCAATTTCAAACTTCCTGTCTTGACATTCAAGGCCTCCTTACACTTTGAGTCTGTCTTTATCACCTCCGTTATTTTCCCTATGTCTCCCTCCTTTGCTCCCACTCCAAATTCTGGGAATTCCTCCAAGTTTCTCAATATTCCTGGAATCATCATCCCCCATCCTCCCCTCCCCCATTTCTCCCATCATCTGTCAAGCTTTCTCTTATTTCTCTCATCTTCTCTAATCCTAAAAAAAAAACCCTGAAGTTCTCTTTTGACACAATAAACCAGATGTATATTTAATGTTCTATTAGCTAATATTGCCTGTGGCTATTTGACCACTGAAATATATGCAGGACAACTGTGATAATGCTTTGACCTTTGTCAGAGTGAAAATCATAGCCAGTTTCCAGTGTTGGACGTGGGAAGGAAGCCTACAATGAACCAGAATTAAGTTATTAAGTTGTCTTGATTTGCCCATGTGACTGACTAACTCAAAAAGGATAAGAATGATTGGGGGCTAAATATGTCACCTTAATAGGTCTTTCATCATTTCAGGTAAAGGGTAAACTAGGCAATATATATATAATCCTGACCTGAGATTATTTTTTCCATTGCTTTTTAGAGAGTGGGAGAAAGGGAGGAAGATTACTGCTGGGTGTCTCCTGCAGAGGTTAGTGCTCATAGTTACTAGGTGTTGTGATTTGGGATAAATTAGGTCAACCCTCTGACATTCAGATTCTTTACTTCCAAATGGAGATGCTCCTAGTGATATCTAATAATGTCAGTAAAATAAGTTAACATAAGAAAATGCAACAAATTGTAAAATGTATGTCAAAGGAACTTACACTCTTACAGCAGCATTTCTGACTGGAGCTTGTGTCACAGCATCAATGGTGATTAGCTGTGGGAGAGCCACTTCCTTCTCACAGGGCCTTGATTTCTTCATCTTTGAAACCGGGGAACAAATTCCTGCCTTGTCTTCTCAACAAGCTATTCTGAAGATACCATAAAAGAAGTGAAATGAACATTTTAACTAGGAAATGTGTGAAAATATCAGGTATTGTTTTCATCATAGTCAGCAACATTGCCATCCCGGAAGGAAGTCACATGAGCTGTCTACATTCCCTCTGTTTTCTCCCTTTCCACTCTATCCCTTTCCACTTCCCCACCTCACCTGACTCACATGTATACATATTTCAGGTCCCAGGTAATCCTTTTATCCTCTCCCTGAACCACCAGCCCAGTCAGTGATCTCCTAGGCTCTCAGTCACTGTACACCCAGCCCATGGACATGGGACTGCCATGGCTCCCACCTGGGGACACCCAGCCAGAGATTTATTTTGGGCTGACTTTAGGAACAAAAAACAACTTGACTTTGTCCAATAGCAGGGAAGTTCGGGGAATTTCTGAATACAATCATTATTGTTTCTCACAATCTGAATGATTTTCAAATCCATGGTTTCATAGATGGCTTCTACTATTTTTATACTTGCTAGACATGAGCCAGGAATATTGCAAGATTGGTACATTATTATATTTTTATTTCCATAAAAGTTTGTTTACATAATGACAATCTTTGATATGCAAGTGATATGTCATTCCAAGATGGATCCAAAGAAATAAAAACACTTGGGTAAAAATCTACAATATGGTAAATTTAAGACTTGATTTCTGACATCTTTAAACTTCTTGTTACTGAAGACACTTCCTGGATTGAATACTTCCAGCTTTATTCATAAAAAGAGGTATGTGAACCAATTTTATTGATTTTTAAGGTCAAATCCCTTTTGAGAGTTTCAAAGCTTCAGAGCAATGTAATGTGGAAGTCTCTTCCAGATAACTTCCTTTTATCTCTAGTCTCATTCTTCTGTTAATGTGTGTTTAATATTCATAGATTCAAATTATCAGGGTAAAATATTTTATCTTTTCAGTTTCCTAATTTATTCTTCACTTTGTAGTGAGGCAGAAAGAAAAGACATAACATTGGATGATTGCTGGAGTTTGCCTAAATGTGTAGATCATTTTTTCTCTCCAATATAATCTTTACCATTAAAGTTAGTGGCTATTTTATAAGTAATTTGAATCAAATTCTCAGAATTTATCCATCAACTCATGTACAGTTTGATTCCATTCTAGTCTAGTCTCTTTTTACCTTTGCAAATTGTTCTCTTTACTTTTTAAATGGAATTAAAAGAGAATAGTTTTTTCATGTAATTGGTCCCACAGCTTTCATACCCTCTTCCCACACATATCCCTACCCTCCATGTCACTGAGTGAGTTTAGGGCATAATTTGCTAATTTGGATATTTGAGCTACTGGTCACTGAGTAGGAAAACTCTGTGATGTTCCAGGTTCTCTTCAAATAAAGCAATATTGCAATTTTAAATTATAATTATTTAACAGATTAATTGGAAGCTTCTCCTACCCTCAGTATTTGGGAGATCTTGTGGGTTGAAAAGACTTTTGCTCCGTGAAACCAAAGATTCCACTTCTGTAGGTACTAGATTCAGAACGAGGAAAACAAAAGCAACAAAGCAGCACAACCAAGCCAATAGCTGGGAATATTAGCTTTCCCTTGTTGTGTAACAAATGGCCACACACTCACCAGCTTAAAAACACACTCATTTATTATGTCACTGTTTCAGTAGGTGAGGGGTCTGGGTACAGTGTATGGGGTTCTCTGCTGAGGGTCCCACAGAATGGAGTCAATTTGGGGCCAGGTGGGGCTCTCATTTGCAGGCTCTGGGGAAGAATCTGCTTCCACACTCTTTCAGGTTGTTGGCCAGATTTAGTTCCTTGTGGTTGTTGGTTGTTGGACAAAGGTCCCATTTCCTCGTTGGCTGTGGCCCAGGGTTGCTCGCTGCTCCTGTGGCCACCCACATGCTTCCTCTGGCTTCCCGTGTGCCTCCCTCCATCTTCATACAGCAGTGGCCCATCCAGTCCTCACACTTCCAATCTCTCTGACTTCCCCTTCTGATTTTAAGGATGTATGTGCTGCGATCAAACCCATCTGGGTAATCTCCCTATTTTAAGGGCCATATAGCATAATACAAAATCGCAAGCCTGAAGTATCCTCTTATTCATATGTTTGAAGAGTTAGGTCAGGATAACTGGGGGAAAGAGATCAGTTTAGAAATTCTGCCCACCACACTGGGGTATGTATTGTTCCAGGTTTTGAGGAAGTTTCGGACACCAAGAGATTTCACCTAGAAGATGGCATCTAAGACTAAGACCCTGAGTGAGAAGGAAGGTTCTGGGAAACAAACAGGAATATTTTAAACTGCAATGATGAAGGCTCTGCAGTGCTGCTGGGATAAACCTACAGGAGAGGCTCAGATGATCTAACAAGGAGAGAAAGCAGCAAGGAAGAAATAAACACAGTTTTGTTAGGAAGGATCGGAAATGCCAGGCCTCGTATTAAATAAACTGACATGCAAGTGAATAATCAGTGAGGAGGCCGAGCACACAGGATGGGAGAGCCAATGAACACAGGACAGAGAGTCCTAAAGGAGAATCCCAGGTGATGGGAAACACCGAGTAAACAAATACCCAGCTCAGAGCCAACAAGCTGCTTCAAGGCTGAGAAGTTCCAAGATTTAGAAAATGGGGGTGGGCTGTAGGGTGGAATCCGGACATTTCACTGGTCTGGCTAGTAAGTTGAAAGGAGAAGATATATATTAGCTTTAAGTAGGACAGCCAAATAATTCCATTACAAGGAAATATAGGCCACAAGGCTGAAAACTAGACATCCTGGACTAGGCATCTTTCACTTTTCAGCCTCCTGGAATGTTATTGCAATTATAAGGCTTTATCTTTTCCCAACTCCAGGAAAATAAAGTGTAAAATATTAAAGATGATGAGAATCCTTAGGGATCATCTAGTCTAATCTCTTCTCATAACCTGGAAAAGCAAGGACCAGAGAAAGAAAGAAACATATCTGGGTCAAGCAGTGAACCTCAAGAACAGTCAGTTCTAGGGAGAGAAGCCTTCTACTCTCCAGCCTGGTGTCCTTCCTAGCACAGGGGACTATGTTCCTCTCTCTTAACAAACTAGCCTTCGAAGGTATATCTTATGCTGTTTAATAAACAGCAACTAAAAAGTAGGTTTTGCCCAATGTTGGATACTCTGTAAAACATCATTGTGGGTCTTCTTTTAGGATTTTTATAAAAGCTTATACATCTGTATTTCATGCTGTCCCCCCCTACTCCTTAAGAACAACATTTAGTTTTTCATGCAAGAAATTTTGGAGTCAGAGAAAGATAAATATCACATGATCTCACTCATTTATGGAATATAATGAACAACATAAACTGATGAACAAAACCAGATCCAGAGACAGAGAGGCATCGATCAGACTGTCAAACCTCAGAGGGAAGGTAGGGGAGGGTGGGGGTAAGGGGAGAGATCAACCAAAGGACTTGTATGCATGCATATAAGCCCAACCAATGGACACAGACACCAGGGGGCTAGGTGGGAGGGGAGGGGGTATAAGGACATATATATTATACCTTAATCAATAAAGAAAAAAAGTATTTAAAAAATTTTTGATTTTACTTCAACTCCCAATAGCTTTTAAAGTGTAAAGATGTCTGTGTTGGTCAGAATAGGTCTTACAATTTTATCAAATAAAAATATTTTAAATAACTTCATATGTGAAATAAAAGTTTATCCCCCATCAAGTACTAGGAGCATGAAATGTGGATAGTAATGAGATGTGAGTTCTGTACTGGAACACATACTTGATAAATAACTAGCTGTATGAAAATACCTCGGTTCCTCCTCTGTGAAAGGTAGAAGTAGGAACGAGTGGTAAGTGCCACATGCATGGGTGGTGAGCTGTGCACTCTAAGCTTTAAGGGAGTGCTATTCTCACTGCCATCTGTAAGAATGGGCTCCCCATGAAATAGGATATGGTGTTATACCGGAAAAATGCATCACAAATGGGAACATTTTTAAAACATTTTGAAAAATGGAAGATACTATTAGACCACCCCTCCCAATAATCATCTCACATTTGACTGTAAATTTTCAGAAATCTCCCTTGTTGGCTGAGAAGAATAAAAGATACTCCTTTTGTTCTGGCTGAGAAGAGCCCTTTTACTGTTGAGATACCATCTTCACTTAGTGAGAGTCCTGCTGAGTAACTGTCCAGCTAGCAGTCAGGGGCCTAGCGAAGAACCCAACAGCAGTTGGAGAAAGGAGAGTGTGTAGTGATGAGCTCGGATGTCTTAACATAAACAGAAGAGAAGCCAAAAATTGAGGAGGAGAATACACAGGGAGGAGTCCAGTGGGAAGGCTGTATATTCTGTAGGCATGGTGACAAAAACAAAAATTAAAAGTGCTCAAAATTAATCCAGCCAATTTTACTAAGAATAATACTGTCTAATTGAAAAGAACTCAAGTGGAAGGCGTATCCCCACATGTGCATATCCTTCAACATTGATTCTTCTAATGACTAATGCAGATTCTTTTCAGATTTGGAAATCACCTTGGGCAATCAAGTACTATGACAGATATTTGAGTCCTCTACTCCAAGACATACAGGAACATTAATAGAGAGAGTTATGGATTAAGAGAGAGGAGGGAAGGAGAGATCCAGAACAAACTGTCAAGCATCTTTTTGCAGGTTTATATTTTTATATTATCTAGTTTTAGAACAAATAATCAAATAGGAAAGTCCAATGATTTTAAAGTTAGGAAATCTGTTTCAACTTGATTCACACCCCAAGGTGACCCACACACTTCATTCAGCCCCTGTAGCTCTACAAATGCCAACTATCTCCTTAGACAAGATCTAGCCTCGGCCACTGGAGGGACAGGTGGTGTTTTCTACTCTAGAACTACTGATCGCAACAACAAAAATGGCCCCTGTTGCACTCCGATACTTGGCAGTAAAGGAGCAATGGAGCAAGCAGCCACATCTTGCTTTGGTTTGGGGAAAGCGCCCTCTGCATGGCTCTTTGATGGACACTGTAGAACAATTATCAGAAATTAA